GCTAACATTTCCCCCCTGTTTCCAGTGTTTGGGCGAAGCTAGGCTAACAGTTTACCCCTGCTTTCAGTGTTTGTGCTAAGCTAGGCTAACAGTCTGATGTTTCAGGGTGAACGGGTCAGGCGGCTGGTCTTCCACAGGTTGTGATCTGATCAGCAGGAATCAAACTCACATCACCTGTGGCTGTGTTGATGCGTTGAGCGTTGCCGTGGTGATGTCCAGGAGAGAGGTAGGACCCACCTGAGACAGACAGTTTTTGTCCACCCTGAAACCTGGAAAAAGTCTAAATAAAGTTTTATCTGTTTGTGTCATCAGCGTGTGGTCGCTCTTCCTCTGAAACTCGCCACCTTCACTTCCCTCTCCTCCTCGCTGCTCTTCCTCCTCATCACCTTCGTCCTCCTCTTCATCCTCACAAACCTGCGCTCCAATTTAAATAGAATCCACCTAAACCAGGTGACCTCCGTCTTCCTGTCGCAGCTCATCTTCCTGCTCGCCATAGAGCGAACACAGAACCAGTCTGCCTGTACGCTGGCAGCCATTTTGCTGCATTACTGCTGCATGTGTTCTTTCTGCTGGATGTTAGTGGAGGAGCTGCACGTCTACCGCATGATGACCGAGATCCGCAACATCAACCACCGTCACATGACCTTCTACTATGCTATTGGCTGGGGTGTCCCCGCTGTCATCACAGGTGAGAAGACGACTTACACGTCCAGAAAACAGCCAACATGCAGCCTCACACAATGTCCAAACTGGACTGTTAGAAAACAGGACAGTGAAGGACACAAGGTGGGAGGACAGCAGATGTGAGGACAGCAGGTGGAGTGTATTCCGTGGTTGATTTGTGTCCTCCTGCTTGTCCTGCAGGTGTCTCTGTGTCTCTGGATTCTGATGGTTTTGGGAGCTCCGGGTTCTGCTGGCTGTCTCTCCAGGACTCTGTAATGTGGAGTGTTGTTGGACCCTTCACTGCTGTCCTCATGGTCTGTCCGTCCCTTTACGTCTCACAGTATCACATTCTGAAGGTTTATTTTGTTGTTATTTTCATGGTGCTGTTCTCATCATGGTTTTTAATTGGTTGTCTCTGTCTCCTTCAGGTTACCATGGTGATGTTTGTCCTGGCAGTTAAAGAGTCCAGAGGACAGAGACAGACGAGCTCTGAGACGGCTGAACTCAGGTCAGTTCGATTTTTTAGATTTGAATCTGTTGGCTTTACAGCAGATCGCTGACAAGTGATTCCTCATCTCCTCTTCTCCTTGTTTCCTCTCATCATCTCTTCCTCTCTTTGTTTCCTCTTCTCTCTTCCTCTCCTCCTTCAGCTCCTCTCTGAGGTCAGCCATCTTGTTGCTGTTGCTCCTCAGTGCCTCCTGGCTGTCAGGTGTGATGGCAGTCAACAGTGATGTCATTGCCTTCAACTACCTGTTCTCCATCTTCAGCTGCCTGCAGGTATTTGTCTTATTGTTAATATTATTAAATTGACTGGTGTTTAGCGACCAGGTTACTCAGCGCTTCCCGTCTCTCTTGTCTGTCTCTCACTATTTCATGATATTAACCTCTCCACCCTCCTCTGTGTGTCGCAGGGCGTCTGCTTCTTCTTCTTCTACTGTGTGTTCAACAGAGAGCTGAGGACGAACCTGAAGGAGATTTTCATCAGGAGGAAGAGAAGCAGAGAGCTCAGGAGCCAACACACCACCGGCCTTTCTGTACGTCATGTCATCACAGTAAACACAACAACAATAGTAGTTACTGACACCTATAGATGGGTGGATTACTGAACGGGCCTAGCGAGTACTGGCATGTCAGGAGCCCCCCACCTCCATCCCTGGCCTTCACCTTTAAAATGTCACTCAAATTGACATGTACTGATCAGGAAGAGATTCAGAATAACAACACAGAGATGCAAAGAAACTGCAAAGCCACACTAAGTAACTATCAATCTGTTAACAGATGTCACCTGAGCAGCTCACCTGAGTGTAACTAACTAAGTAACTAACTCAGTCTGTTCACTTTTCTCTCTCCAGCGCTCTCTGAACAGGAAGCAGTCATTCTCTGGAGATGAAGGTCTGTATCGAACCACCATTGGAGAGTCGACGGCATCTCTGAATAGCAGCAGGTGAGCTGATCCTCACCTGGCAAGAAACTTTTTTTTTTTTTGGTTAATATCACAGTTGAAAACAATTTGAACGATTTCAGTGGCAAACAGGAGGAGCTGCCAACAGCCACCGCTGCAACTAACAAACTCCACAAATCCATTCAGCAGCTCCAACATCCACAGTCAGACACACGACTGCTTATTTACTGCTGAATTACAGCTCACAACTCGCACCAACAACTGACGCTGCTCCGGTGTGAGTGTATTTGCTGGCTAGTGAACATCCTGGTGCAGAATATATACATTTACATTTCATCACATCTCGTCTCATCAGCGAAAATGAAACATATGCTGTGTCTCAAATCACGTACTTCTGTACTTACACTTAATATTTTGAGTGCATAAGTGCGTTCACACTGAGAAGTATGGAAAAATGCAGTGCACTATGAGTACCCGGATGATGCACTCAAAACGGTCAAGAAGTTGAGTGTGGAACTATGGACACTTCTTGCCCTCAGTGGTCGCCATCTTGGCTAGGGATGGGCAGCACAAGCAAAAACAATATTCGAAAATCGTGGCAACTTTTCAACAATTTTTCGAATAATCGCGGGGATTTTTCACGGACATTTTTACAGGAAACTACAACGCGGAAGTGTGCTCGACTATGAAAGCCCGAATGACTGTGGACATTCCTCGCGGAGTAGTAGTCTCTGCATGTTTCTCCTGTTTGTAGAAGAGCATCA